CCCCCCCCCCCCCCCAAAAAAAAAACATAATAATAATCTTTATTATAAGTAAAATTAAAAATTTGTAAATACCAAAAACTCTCCAAGTCAACCGATTCTCGTAGAGTCGTTGACAAAGTGACATGTTGTTAACTTACATAAATATGTCGGATCTGAACATGATTTTGTTGCTACTTACATAGATAAAAAAATCTCTATAATGATTTGATATTATCCACTTTCGTGTGACTCCAACAAGTTTAACATATAGGAGTGAAGCTTTAGATTTTTTTTTTTTTAAATGTATTTATGTTGAAACTAACCTCTTATGAATCGGCTAAATTATAAAAATATATTTGAAAAAAAAATCATATTATTTTTAAAAAAATTATTATATTGGATAAATAAGACAACGGGACAATCACCTAAAATGATGTAGTTGTGATTGAGATTCGAATGTTCGCTAAATTAACTTTTCGTCCAATAAACGAATCGATTTTGTATTTCATTTGAAACTTATCTTTAAAAATAATATAAAAAATACTATAATTTTTATTTTAAATTAAAGAAAATAACATTTACGTCTAATAAAATTTTGCTATTAATATATTTTTAAAAATATATATATATATTATTATTATTATTATTATTGTGAGTGTTTAAAATTGAAGAAATGTGTTAAAAGAGGTAAGAGTATTATTGATTTGGATTGATCCACCATCTTTTTTCCTCCCTTACTTTTATGATTGATTGAGACTGAATATCAGCTTTTAAATTAGACATATTCATTTACGAGGCCCTCCTTCCTCGAGTAAGCTTAATTCAGTGGTAACTGACATTTTGTTAACAGAATCTTGCTTCTTCTCCCTTATCATTTTTGTCGCAATACATATACTCTCTAGCTTACCATAAGATGGTCGAGAAGTTGGTTGAAGCGAACCAGATTGATATTAGGTACCATGAGTTAGAGGCCATGATGCATGTCGACTCTTTCGATCGAATTTGAGCTTGGAACCAATTTTTTTTTTTTTTTTTTTTTTTAGTTTCGTTTCTAACTAAACACTAATATTACTCAAATAGAGCATACCAACTTTAACGAGGTAATTAATGCGTTGATTTTGGCAATTAATGAAATAGGACTATAATTATTGATTCATTTCTAACTAAATACTCAAAATTAAATGACTAAATCTTGAGGCTAAAATCTCGCCATAAATAATGTTTGAAGTTAGTGGCCCCACCGCCCAAAATGGTTTGGTGTTCAACTTTTCCGACCACGAGCATCCGATGCTGCCGCGCCGGCGGCTGCCTCCGCCCCACCCCCAATAATTTAGTACCTATACCTTTATGAACCATGGGATTTAAAAATTAATTAAAATTCCTTTTTCTTAATTGGATTATAATTTTTTTTTTGTTTTTATTAAGTTAGATAATCCGAATCATCAAATTCAATTGAGTTGGATTAGGTTATCGAAATATTTTTAAAAAAATTTATTTGTCTACAATATATATTATATTAATAATTAAAATCTCACCGCATATTTATCATCTATTAACACAAAATATTTTTAATTCTCTTAATATTTTTAAAAAGTATGGTCAGGATCGTAATTCTATTATAGTTGACAAGATAAGAAATGTCAACGCACAAACCAATTTGAATTTTTTTATCTTTTAAAAAATCAATCACTTCTAAATAAAATAAAAAATTGAATAAAAAATTAGAATTAGGTCGAGTTCTTGCATGAAATAGTCCTATTATTTGTGTGAACTAAAAACGAAAGTTAAACGTTAATTAATTTTCTTTTAGAAAACTTGAAGGCTCACCTAACTTGATTAGGAGAATAATTATCTTTTTTACCCAAACCGACAGGTCGGAATTCCTTAAATCTAATATTTTAATTAAAGTTAAGCCATTGTATTATTTTGACATTGTTGATTGTCGACTTGTCGTCAAATCACTTCAATTTAATTAATTAAAGGTTCCACTTTTTTTTTTTTTTTTTTAATTAAAGAAAAGGCCATTGTTACCACTAACATTTGTTTATTTATTTTCAAATTTACTTGAATAGTTGACTTAACATTATATTTTTATATTGTCATTATAATTATCATGGAGTAAAAAATAACTTCATTTTAAATATAATACGATAATAAAGAGTCATCTTTGAAAAATCACATAAGGACAAATACAAGTATAGTTCATATTATTAATAATAAAGGTATTTTTAATTTTTCGAGAATTTTAATATATTATTCCATATTAATAAAAATATGGCTAAACTCATTCTATTTTCAAACGTTTTTAATAATTCTCTTAAATTAAAAAAAATTAAAAATGCGTTTTTTTTTTTTTGAATATCCTTGAATTTTAAAAAATACATTACCTTTAAAAGCTTCACTAAACTAAAAATAAAAATAAAAAAAAAACTATATACTTTTACGTTATGAAAATAAATGTATTTTTAATTTTTGTTTTCTTAATTAACAAGTATATATAAAAATAGAATTAAGAAAAAAGTGAAAATAATAAAAGAATATAATTGAGAAGAAAACAAAAGAAGGGCAATAGTGGAAACAAAGGTACATTCGATTGCGACACTTCCACCCATAGTATTCCCCCACCCATCACCTTTTTTATTTTTCTTCCTCTTCTTTTTATTTATTCATATTTTAATTAATTAATAATAATATTAATTTTCTCACCTGAAAGACCCACTAAAAAAGCTTAATTTATATTACAATTTCTCTCTCTAGCCCCAACCCCATGCATGGCTAAGAAATTAGAATCTAGAGAGAGAAAGGCATAAAGTAAAGAAACCCTACTTTGGTGGCCGTCTTCTTTCTCTCGTTTCCCAGCAAATGTGATTCTCCACCATCACTAACCTTTTACCATGGTTTTCCCTTTGGATCTTCCTCCCAACTGGCCATCCGTGAGTGGTTTCGAGCCCTATAATTCCCACCTTTTTTTTTTCTTTTTAATTTTATTTTATCTGTTCTTGAATATACTCCATCCTTAATCCTTCTTGTTTTTTGGTTTTTCCCAGTTCTCCAATCCACAGCAAAATAACCCTGCTCCGGATTCTGATCAGGTTTTGCTACCTCTGCCATCTTCTGGTGGTGGTGGAGGTGGTGGTGGCGGTGGCGGTGGTGGGTTCATCAGACCGGTTTCGATGACCGATCGTGCTCGGTTGGCGAAGATTCCGCAACCGGAGCCTGGATTAAAATGCCCTAGATGTGAATCTCCCAACACTAAATTCTGTTACTTTAATAATTATAATCTTTCTCAGCCTCGCCACTTTTGCAAGACGTGTCGTCGTTACTGGACGCGTGGTGGTGCGCTGAGGAATGTTCCCGTCGGTGGTGGCTGCCGGAGGAACAAGAGGGCTAAACCCCAGAATCGGTCCAAGTCTCCGACGGCGGGCGAGCGACCAAGCTCGGCTAATTCAACGCCTGCAGTTTCACTTTCAGCTCAACCCCATTTGCCCTTTTTGTCATCTTTACATAATTTCTCTAATTACCTAAACTTGGGGATAATTCCGCCGCCGCCACCTCCTCCAACAAGCAGTGGCGCCGCCGCCGCCGGAGGACCGGATATTCATGAATTTCACGGTGACCATTGGAGATTACAACAACCACAGCAATTCCCTATCTTGGCTAATAATCAACAACCTAATCTACTTTACACTTTCGACCCACCAGAAAGCGCGACGACTCGATACAATCTAAACGGGCTATCGAGATTAGAGATGGAGAACAACGTCGGAATGGCGATGGCGGGAACAGTGAAGGTGGAAGAGAGTAAAGCAATGAACTTGGGGAAGAATTTCCAATTCTGGGTCGGTGGCGGCGACACGAATACTTGGAGCACCGGCGCCGATCTTCACAGCTTCGCTACGTCCTCCGCCGAACACTTATCCAGACAGTAATTTTCCTCAATCCTTCCGAACTTCCTCTTTTTGTCATTAAAATGTTCAAAGTAGAAAACAAA